GCGGGGTGAATGCACAGACCCACAGTGCCAGACGCATGCAACACGGTTTAAGTTTGCTCTCTCCGCGGCGTGCTGGGACACCGGCCAGCTCCGTCCGCAGAACAAAGAACCCCCCAAAGGAACTAAAGACATCTGCAAGGCTGAGATTTCCGGCGGGGGGGTGGGTGGGCTGGGAGGGGAGGTTGGATTAGGGCCAGAGGGATGGGCTGGGTGGGGGAGGAGAGAAAGGGAGGAAGGGGAAAGGGGCAGGAGGGACAGGGCACAATCATGCAGTTTGGGGCAAGTACATTTTTTGTTGCTTAGTCAGATTTCTTCCACAGCCGATTGGAGTTTGCTGAAAGAACCAGGTTACTTAAGTAGAGAGAGAGTGTTGGAGAAAAGTATTGAAGGAGAATGGGCATCACCAGCCGCCCGTCCCGGAGCCTTCACTTTGCAGTCATCATCTGCACGAACTCTGTGAGAGAGAGAGAGAGAGAGATGCGAGGGTACAGGATCAGTGAGCCAGGATCACATCCCCACTCCGCCCTTCTCCAGGGTGTGTTGTGAGCAAGACACGAGAAGTCATTCTTCCGCTCTACTCTGCGCTGGTTAGGCCTCAACTGGAGTACTGTGTCCAGTTCTGGGCACCGCATTTCAAGAAAGATGTGGAGAAATTGGAGAGGGTCCAGAGAAGAGCAACAAGAATGATTAAAGGTCTAGAGAACATGACCTATGAAGGAAGACTGAAAGAATTGGGTTTGTTTAGTTTGGAAAAGAGAAGACAGAGGGGACATGATAGGAGTTTTCAGGTATCTAAAAGGGTGTCATAAGGAGGAGGGAGAAAACTTGTTCATCTTAGCCTTTAAGGATAGAACAAGAAGCAATGGGCTTAAACTGCAGCAAGGGAGGTTTAGGTTGGACATTAGGAAAAAGTTCCTAACTGTCAGGGTGGTTAAACACTGGAATAAATTGCCTAGGGAAGTTGTGGAATCTCCATCTCTGGAGAGATTTAAGAGTAAGTTAGATAAACGTCTATCAGGGATGGTCTAGACAGTATTTGGTCCTGCCATGAGGGCAGGGGACTGGACTTGATGACCTCTCGAGGTCCCTTCCAGTCCTAGAATCTATGAATGGGGAGGAAAGGGTGGACTCAGCTACAGGAACAGCCCATTAGCCTCGTTCTCCAAAGGGCTCGGGGAGACCCCGTGCTCAGAGTGGTCTGAAAGTGGGGGACGGAGAGCTAAGCACCCCCCAGGTACGAGGGGAATGGGGTACCCCTCTCGGCCAGTCAGATCTCACAGCTCTTACACAGCACTTCAAAAAGGTCAACCTCGCCCCCATCATGGGGGTGGGGGCATAAGGAGAAGTGACATGCCCAAGGTCACCCAGCAGGCTAGTGGCTGAGCTGGGACTAGCACCCAGCTCTCCCAAGTTCCAGTTCAGTGCTCAGGTTCTCTGGCACCATCACCCAATGCAGTAATGCAGCCACCTCTGGGGTGGAACTCAGCAGCTGGAACGGTTGTACAGCAGTGCCAGCAGCTGAGAGCTACAAGAGTCCTCCCATTCTGGACCTGCATTTGCATGATAAGTTTGGGATCGCAGACCTCTTGGGGCATTTTTCAGGTGGCAGGACCGTACCATCCAGGGCCAGGTCAGGTCAATGGTGCTCAACTGCAGGGGACCGTTGGGTTGCCGGCCCCTTGAGGACAATAGCCTGGTGGCTGGTTACACAGGACAGGTGAGGAGTAAAGGGTCGGGCGTCTCAACATCCCTCTCCGACTCACCTTCATAATTGACCTGCCCATCTCCGTCGATGTCAGCCTCTCGGATCATCTCGTCTACCTCCTCGTCGGTCAGCTTCTCTCCCAGGTTCGTCATCACGTGGCGCAGCTCTGCCGCACTAATGTAGCCATTCCCATCCTGCGAGGCGGGGGCAATGGAGCGAGGATTTAGCTCAGTACAGCTGCTCCCCTTCCCCCCCCCACATACACGTACCACAGACGTGGCAGCCCAGTGAGCCTGGCACCCACAACACCCTGCCCCTCACCTCCCAGATGGGTGCTCACCTTATCAAAGACCCGGAATGCCTCTCTGATCTCTTCCTCGCTGTCCGTATCCTTCATCTTCCGCGCCATCATAGTCAGGAATTCTGGGAAGTCGATGGTGCCGTTCCCTGGAAAGGAAGTGCTGCCTTTGAGTGAAGGGGACTAGCCGGGGGCCAATTTGCTGAGCTGGGCCAGGGAAAAGCACCAGGGGATAAGGGAGAGGCGGTGCCAGGCCCGGCTTGGAGCCTGAAGGCCTGTTTGTCTGCAGAGCGGACAGCACAGGCAACATGCTCTGGTGGGACCCGCCCCTAAGGGCGGGACAGGAGTTCTGGGCCCATGGGCTGTTCAAGCCGGGGCCTCTCAGCTGAAGCGACCAGCATGGTGGCACCAATCGCTGTGGAACCGGACTGAGGTCCCAAGGAACGGCTGCGAGCAGCCAGCAGTAGGCACCGGCCTTGGGACAAGCTACTTCTGGAAGCCTGCCAGGCCAGGGCAACGGGCACCCGAGAACAGCTGCCCACAGAGCCCCACGGGGACAAGCCAGGATGCATGAGCCAGGTAGAGCGTCCAGGACGCCTCGTCCAGCATCTCAGGTGGTGGGATGGGATTGCTCCTGGCCATCGCCCCCTCCCATTCCGCTCCCCGCCAGGCAGACCACCCTCGGCCGCTCAACGCCCTTCCAGCTCACCGTCCGCATCCACCTCGTTAATCATGTCCTGCAGCTCCGCTTCGGTGGGGTTCTGGCCCAGGGACCTCATCACCGTCCCCAGCTCCTTGGTGGTGATGGTGCCGTCCCCATCCTTGTCGAACAGGGAGAAAGCCTCCTTGAACTCTGCGGGAGGGAGAGAGCCGCCGCCCGTCAGTGCTTCGGTTAACAAGGCTCCTCCACAGCAGAGGTGGCTAGCAAGGAGCAGCCGAGCGGCTCATGAGACAGGCCCAGCAGAGCGGCCGTTCAGAGGCAAAATACCCAGGGCACCTTAATCCTGAATTCCCCATCCCCTCACTACTGCTTTCCACGCCAAGTCTGACCCTAGGGTGAATCTGCGTCGTCCCGCTGAGCCTCGGAAAGGAGAGTGAATGGGACGAGATGGCCCCATGGCTGGTGATTCCTATGCTGGTCAAGTTAGGCCACTTGAGGGGAGGTGACCAGCACCCCTCAGCCTAGGGATGGTTAGAGAGCCTAATGATAAAGGACTGGCAAGAAGCTAAATTACAGCTATCAGCAGGGGCACCGGGCACCAGCCAGTGGGGTAACCTGCTCTTGCAAGTGCCACCCTGGCGTTCCTGTGTCCATCCCGTTCCCCAGTCGTCTCCCGCAGACAGTCCCATCCTGGGGATCACCCCGGGGCTAGGTTTGAATTTTCCAACAAAATTAGCCGGGGACTCCGACAGCACGAATCATGCTGCCGCTAAACCCAAACGACCGGAGGCTGCAGTGGGCGAGCCGGGATGCCCCGGGCATAGGCCAGCAATCAGAAACGGGGCCCATTGCAAGAGCTGAGCGGTCTCCGATCCCAGTCTGCAGGTTGACAAAAACCCTAAGACGTGCTTCTCTCCGTGACCGCCACAAAGAGGGGGAACCGCAAAGCCGGCTACGCACCAAGCCGAGGGAAACACACTGTCATTAACGAAAGACTAGAACCAACCTTCCGTGCTACTCGTAGCAGGGACAGTATTTTAAATCAGATTTTTAAGCTGACTGTCTTTAAGCGTTTAATGGGTTTCCAGCTAGCCGGGGACACAGTCCTCCAGGTAGCGCTTGGTGGAGAATCTCATCTACTGTCTTGCCTATTCGTGCCCCGGCCCCAGCAGCAGAACCCGCTTGTGCCTACCATCAGTGACTCCTTAGCTCCCTGTCACGAGGTGAGCTCCAGGAGTGGGGCTGTAAACACTGCAGCCATGAGCGTGAAGACTTGGCAGAGTTACAAAGCATCGCTACACCTGAAAGTCCTAGACGCAGCAGAGAACCTATCCTCTGCCCTGGAGCATGCTGCATCCTGCATTGTGGGGAGCATGGCCAGTCATGGGGCCCACCCCACTCCCCCAAAAGTCATCTTCACGCCCCACTGGGCAGCATCTGCAGCAAGACCAGAGACTCCTCCCTTTCCCCTGCTCACCCAAGGCACAGGGGGAGGGGAAAAGGGGTCACCACAGCTACATTGATTTTGCACTGAAGTGGTGATCTGGGAGACGATCACCCCACTTCATTCTACGTGGGCTCCCCTGTATTTAGACTGAACAGCTAAAACCCTGGATCGGTTCTTCCAGCCCTACACGCCCGTGTCCCCAGTGGGTACGACAGACGAGAGCTGGGGACGCTGTGGGTACTGGGTTCCCTCCCCGTTCTTCTGAGCCCTGGGGGCGATCACCACAACACCACACGGTTATAGCAAACACTCAGCTAGGTGGAAGGGGGGTTTAGGACTCACCTGCTATCTGCTCCTCAGTCAGCTGGTCGGCCTAGAAGGAGCAGAGAGAAGTTAGTCACCGGGGCATGGAAACAGTCGGTTGTTACTACATCGAGAAGGCAGCTCTTGGCAAAGGGGGCTGGATTGACAGGCCTGACCGGTGCCCTCCGCTCTGATTCAGGCGGTGGCAACAAAACCACCCCCACCCCCTCTAGGAGAAGGACAGCACTAGGTCCCCACAGCCCAGCCACTCCTTGATCTCCGTACCGGAAACTGATCACCAGGGCCGTTCCTGACAGGCTGCTGCATCCCAGGGCCCACGTACGCTGCCCCAACCCCTCAGCATGGAAGTCAAGGGGGCAGGTGCCACTCGAGGGTGGTAGCTGAACCCCCAGCCACTGTCACAGCCAATACCACCCGTGTATTTCCAGTTCCACTACAGACCGCACGAGCCTCTGGCCCCATGTGTGAGATGGAGCCAAGATCTGCCTCACAGGGGCCTTAGTTCACTAGGGTTTACACCAGGGGTCGGCAACCTTTCAGAAGTGGTGAGCCGAGTCTTCATTTATTCACTCTGATTTAAGGTTTCGCGTGCCGGTCATACATTTTAAAGTTTTTAGAAGGTCTCTTTCTAAAAGTCTATAATATATAACTAAACTATGGTTGTATGTAAAGTAAATAAGGTTTTTAAAATGTTTAAGCAGCTTCATTTCAAATTAAATTAAAAGGCAGAGCCCCCCGGACCGGTGGCCAGGACCCGGGCAGTGAGGGTGCCACTGAAAATCAGCACGCGGGCCATAGGTTGCCTACCCCGGAGTTTATCCAGAGCACTGAGTCGAGACATCAGGGAAGGGCAGCGTATTAATAGACAGTCTAGCCAAGCTTCCCGAGCCTGCCAGGATGCCACCAGTCCCAAGCACCCATGAGCTCTCCGCCAGAGACAACCACACCGTGGCAGTAACGCCGGCGGCGCAGCCCTTTGCTGATCCACACGTGCCCGCATCCGGATTAAGGAGAACTCCAAAGTTGCTGGAGCCCCAAAACGTAGAGTTTGTAAAAAAAAGCTCCTGACACAAGGCTGGGGGAAAAGGATTTCAGCACACAGGCCTTTGTCTGCAGTTTTGGAAACTGCAGCACACATGAAAACGACTAGAAACGGTGAAATTAACGAGGCTCCATTGTGAATGCGATCTAATCCCTGGCACCAAGGAAGGGAGAACGGTGCCGTGCCTGGGGGCTTTCAGCACCAAGGCCGGGGCAGAGCGGCGATGAAGGTTTCATATGGCAGCCTATCACCATAGCCTTTCATGTCAAATCAATAGCCGGAGCGAGGTCCCTGGTCGCCTTGCGCCCTTTGGGACAGCGATGCCCTGCTCCAGAGAACGGCTCAGGGGAGCAGCACCCACTAGAAATGCAGCAACCTCGCAGCCAGCCAGGGCAGGAATCAAGACAATAGAGCAATTCTGAAATTGAGTGAAGGGAGGGTGCGAACCAGTAGTTTCCCCAGCTATAGGGGGTGACGGGGGTGGGGTCAGCTCCCCACAGTGGGTCAAATGAGGGCATTCATTCTTGAGGCACAGACAATCAACTACAGGACCAAGCTGCTCCAATCTCTATCCAATTCCATCTGCTTCCGGCACTGGCATGAGCGCACGCCAGGGGACTGGCAAGGGGCACTGGACACTTTCATCTTTGCTCGTTAGCTTGGGGACTGTCCCTCCCCAAAGCTAGATCCAATTCTGCAGCCACCCAAGCTCGAGCCGAAAGCAGGATCAGGCCGTGAGAACCCTCCAGGGAAGATACAGAGCAGCACTGGAGATTTCCGACACCTTTGCCACCTCGATGCCCGCCTGATATCTTCAACTGCAGGGTCAAACCAATGCCCATACAGTCACTAAAAATCCCAAGGCACTTTCCACAAGAGACTGCACGTTAGCCCCAACATCCTGGCCCAATTCCAACCAGGCAGATCCATTCAGCCTCCCTAAACTCCCCTGCCGTTTCAGTAGGAGAGAGTTCTCATCTTTCTAGCCTGACCTACTGCGTAAGCATTGCTGAGGCAGTGATGAGACAGGCACATCTTGCAAGACACAGCTCAGTTGAAAAGTGCTCCAGAAACATAGGTTGATAAGGACAGAGCAGTGAGCAAAGATTAATTCGTTAGGCAGGAATATCTACCAGTCAAGGGAGAAAGGGAAAGGCAGCCGCAGCTGATGGCAGTTTGTGGGGGAGAAAACTCCCTCCGCATGGCTTGGTGTGAATGAGGTGACTCCATCCACAGAGGTGGAAGATCATTACACAGGTCCCCAGTACTGTCCTGCTGCAGCGGGGAGAGATTGGAGAATTTGGAGGGCTTCGGGGAAAGAAAGAGATCCTGCATCGCCCCTTCAGAAATAATAAAGGGCTGATCAGTCAACACTACTTCTGTAAAGTACAATCACGCCTCCCCAATCTATTAGAATTCTTTGAGGGGGTCAACAAACAGGTAGACAAGAGTGATCCGGTAGATAGAGTCCATGTGGACTTTCAGAAAGTCTTTGACAAGGTCCCTCACCAAAGACTCTTAAGCAAAGCAAGCCGTCATGGGATAAGAGGGAAGGGCCTCTCACGGATCAGTAACTGGTTAAAAGACATGAAACAAAGGGGTAGGAAAAATGGTCTGTTTTCACAGTGGAGAGAGGGAATTAGTGGCGTTCCCCAGAGGGGTCTGTACTAGGATCTGTGCTGTTCAACATATTCATGAATGATCTGGAAAAAGGGATGAACAGTGAGGTGGCAAAGTTTGCAGATGATACAAAATTACTCAAGACAGTTAAGTCCAAAGCAGACTGCAACGAGACAAAGGGATCTCACCAAACTGGGTAACAAAATGGCAGATAAATGCAATGCTGATTAATGCAAAGTAATGCATATAAATGCACATAATTCCAACATTACGTACAAAGTGATGGGATCTAAATTAGCTATCATCACTCGAGACAGATCTTGGAGTCACTGTGGATAGGTCTCTAAAAACATCCACTCAGTGTGCAGCAGCAGTCAAAAAAGCAAACAATGTTAGGAACGGGACGGATAAGACAGTAAACATCACAATATAAAGCCATGGTACGCCCACACCTTGAACACTATGTGCAGTTCTGGTTGCCCCATCTCAAAAAAGATATACAATTGGAAAAGATACAGAGATGGGCAACAAAAATGATTAAGTGTATGGAACAGCTTCCATATGAGGAGAGATTAATAAGACTGGGACCGTTCAGCTTGGAAAAGAGACGACCAAGGCGGGATACGATACAGATATATAAAACAACTGGCGTGGAGAAAGTGACAAGGGAAGTGTTATTTACCCC